GGCACGCGGTAAGGTAGCTAGATTAAGTATTGTTGGCTTGATAGTTAAAAAAATGGCGAAGCCTTTGTTTAACAACAATTAATCGTATCGATGACAACACCACAGTTTCCCCAATAAGCGAAGTTAATTCCTGCTGTGTTCTCCAAGCGGAAATATGCGAATTTTCCACCGACGCTAACACGTGGTGTAAATTTGAGTTATTGTCTGTAAATTCACAGTTCATGTTAGGATTTTAATCGTTACTGGTTCTAACATAATTTAACAGTCATGAGATTGATCAGATGAAGCAGTTATAAAAGGTGTCTGCATGCTTATACTTAAGTGTTACATTATAAGCATTCTTAATTCCTCACACAAGATTGCTAATACTTCATTTACGGCAGTTAAATTAACCTAACGTTGTCCCATTCTCGGAAAACGACCGTAAAAGTGCATTAGAATTCATAATATCGTCCACTGAGTGACGGGGGGATTAAATTTTTCCCCTTAGCCAGTGTCATTCAGACATCAACAAGACGTATTTCCCGCGACGTGGGAACTTACACGACCGAGAGGTAATTCTCGCAACGTGGGATGCATTTTGTGTTTATTTTGGCGTAGATAACACAGGAATATGTGGCAGAAGCGGAGGGCCCGGTTCCTATTTGAGCTGGCGGGATTTATCGCGCCATCTGCACAAAAGACGCAGATCTAGAATAGAAGTCAGAGGAGCGTATAGCGAATAGCCGGAATTTCCAACCACGAGTTTGCGACCGCAATGGCCAGCTCGCGCAGCACGTTTCTTCGTGATAGGGGGGGTGCTTGCCGATAGAGTAGAATCACCGTCGTGGTGGGAGAACAGCCACAACCAGGAGCCCCAAAGTTTGCTCATGCTACAACGCGACCTATGGGTAAATTTACTGTGCTCTAGAATGAAATTGATATTATTATTATTATTAATTATATTATTATTTGAAATTGAACAACAGGTACATGACCCAAATACAGTCCAATTATTAATGAAACTGATATTACCGGCAGCTAATATAGCACAGCTATCATACTGTGGTGCCCCAAAGGTATATTAGTCAGCTAGCAGGTGAATATTAAAACAGTTCAAAGGTTGCACATCTTGCTAATGGGAGAGTATTTCAATACATTAAGACGAGGAGTGGGTAGGTAAAACAAGTTTGGATGACGTAATGTTAAAAGCGGTGAGTGGAAATTAATCTGACCGAGTAAAGGAGGGCAATCAATATTTGAATTAATAAGTTTTTTCAAAAAATTTAGCGAGGTTTTGATGCGCCTAGACTGCAAATCCTGAAGTCCAAACCTCTCAAGCAGTAAGTTTTGGGGGTAATCCCTAGGAGGATAAACTCCATCCAGTCTGAAAACCAGGAATTTCAAAAAACGCCTCTGAATTTTTTCAAAGATATCAATGTGAACATTCGCCGACGGAGCCCATACAACACTACCATACTCTAGCTTTGATCTTACAAAAGCAAAAAATAGAGATATAAATGTACTTATGTCTTTAAAATCTTTGCAGGATCTAATGATGAATCCTAAGTTCTTGAGAGATTCATTAACAACGGCATCATAGTGTAACGAAAATGTAAGTTTGGGATCAAACATAATGCCCAAATTTTTGAAGTAATGAGCGCGTTTTAAGACTGCACTGCTGATGGTATAATTATTGGTTATAACAAAGTTTTTGTTTGAAAAGGTCATTACATGGCATTTATCCAAATTAATGGGAAGGTTATTACAAGCACTCCAGTTATAGAATTCATTGATATCTTTTTGAAGTAAATAGCAGTCATAGTTGGAAGATACGCGCCTAAACATTTTTAGATCATCAGCAAGCAATAATACTTCAGAACCGATTCTTTTTACTACATCATTAATGAAGATGGCAAAAAACAATGGTCCTAAAACAGAACCTTGTGGAACGCCAGATAACACAGGAACTTTGTCAGAAACATGACCAAGGTACTTTACACATTGCATTCTACCCGTTAAATACGATTTAATCAGCTTCACTAAGCTATCCGAAAATCCAAAGTTGCGTAGCTTAATTGATAAGATAGAATGATCAATCCTGTCAAACGCCTTTGAAAAATCAGTATACACCGCATCCACTTGCTGTTTAAATTCAAACGACTCAGATACAGATTTGGGTGAAACAAACTAAGTTGGTAATTGACGACCTTCCTTTGATAAACCCATGTTTTGAATTACTTAAGCAGTTACGTACATGAAAGAATAAGAACTTATGAAGAAAAATTTCAAAAAACATTTGAAAAATTAGATATGAGTGAGATGGGACGATAGTTAACAATATCATCGCGTTTACCCTTTTTAAAAACAGGAGTAATAATAGAATATTTCCACATATCAGGAAATGATAAAGTTTTAATTATTAAGTTAAAGATAATAGATAACGGATAAGCAAAAACGGCCTCACAATCATTAAGTAAAAAACCAGAAATATTATCATAACCAGAAGTTAAGTTAGGCTTAATTTTTTTCAACGGCGCATAAGTGTTTGACTCATTTACAAAGGCTAGATGAATGGTAATATTCATGGACCCATCAACAAACTATTCGAATTGATATTGGCAGCGCTAGTGAACCCTGAACTAAAGTGGTCAACAAAAGCATTAAGGATATCTTTTGGATTATCAATTAATCGATTTAATTAATTCATCTGTAAAGGTATTCCATATTGTTTCTTTAAGTTGCTAATGTGACTCCAAAATTTATTAGGATTTTCTTTAATATCAGTTTCAAGATTCTCTAGATATCTGCGATGTGCCAACTTGATGTCATTCTTTAATGAAGAGCGAATAGTCTTAAAATTGCGAATGTTATATTCAGATCTGTTGGTTCTAGACAAACGTCATAATTTGGACAATTTAAGTTTCTTGCTAATGTCATAGGAGAAGCAAGGTGGATACGAGCTTAAACCAGAGGAACAAGACTTGGGAACATGTACATCCAAAATGTTGTTTAATTTACTATTAAAACAGGAACATGCTAAGTTAACATCAGTGATGCTTTTAAGAAAGGAGCAGTCAATGCATAATAGATGCTCATACAACCCAGTAACATCCACTCTACGAAAATTCCAACGAGGGATGACCGTTAATGGTTTTATCTTTAGATTCTTGATTTTTAAAAGAAGCTAACAACGTTGGGTGATGAGAATCCTCTTCCAGAAGAGGATCTTCACAAGAGCTAATAACACAATGAAAGTTAGACAGAATCAGATCAAGATATCTCTCAGACTTATTAGCGATATTATTATATTGATTAAGTTCAAAAAAGTTCAAAAAAGACATCAACGAGGATAATTTACTATTGCCAGATTTATCACACAAAGAATCTTTGTCATAATCAGGAAGACTGAAATCACCAATAATTATTACACGTTGGTTGAATAGTTCTTCTAGATTACCTAGTAAATTGAACAATAGTATGTATTCATCAACCGTAGATTTAGGTGGAATATAAACAATGAAGATATAGAAACTGAAATAGCCAACACTACATTTAGCCCCAAGAATGTCTGTGAAAATAAGCATGTCAAACCCTTTAGACGCCAGGTCAAGTTGGATAGTTGAAAATTGCAACTTGGATGCAAAAAGAACTCCTCCTCCTCTAGTTACATTAGTTTTATCAAAATTTCTGTCTGATCTGAGGACTATATAATTGTAAGGGCAAAATTCAGAGTTAAGCACAGAACTAGAAAGCCAAGTTTCTGTAAGGCAGATAAAATCAAAATCGCAACACATGATATAGTTCATCGCCACACACTTATAACGACGTGGCTGCCTTCTCAACTTTGGGAGTCATACGCATTCACGAGGAGGTGCTCTGCCACTGCGTGTACGCCAAATTAATTTATTTTAAATACATCATGATGATTCAGGATTTATCGGTAAAATTTTGAGGTGACGTCATCACATTGTTGGTGGGGACGATTAGACACATTTTGGTTAGCAAACATTGACAGACGACGCACAGAATGAAATAAACTCAGAGTTATAGTGGAAACGAACTTTAAATCCACACTAAACTATGATAAGTGAAAAATGAATGGCAATGTGTAATAGTTAGCTCTTATCATTATTTATACACATAAGAATTTATGTAGTTTGGAGACTACTTTAGCCTGACTTCGTATGCGTCAAGAGTAAACATATTACAAGGAACCTGACATTTGAAATGGGGGAAATAAAAAACGAGAACATCCAATAACCCTTAGCAAACCAGCTAAGTTGTGAGAAAGGATAATAAAGAAGAGTAATGATGTACACACTGTTTGTTAATGTGAAGTCAGTGGTGGGTGACGCAGTAAAAGAGGTGTGTTAGGAATAGATGCAAGAATGGAAGAAGCTAGAACAAGAAAATTATACACCCCTGAACTACAATCAAACGAGCCTAGTTTCTTAGATACAGGGCAAAATTTAATAATCCTGTGAAATTTAATTTGTTATTCAATAGTTATACAAGAATATTCTTTTTTAAAATGTAAATAGAATTTTGAGACAATGGATATTATTTGTGTAATAAAATTTCCAACACTAATAGACGGAAACGGCGCAAATGTGTATACGAAAAATATTCGACGTATCAGCGTTATCTGATGAGTTCACAATTGATAAAACTCTACTTTTCATAATAATTGCACGTTATTCTATCTGTTCATCTAATTAAACGAAAGCAAACTCAACTTTTCCGCTGAAATTAATAAACACAGTTTTTTAACCTTGTTACCTCAATCGGCTATACTATAAAAAGCTCGCTGACCATCGCATCTCCAATTACTGATCCAATTAGGAAAAAAAGTTGACTTAGCTTCTTGTTTGTTCGTCTCGGCTTGGAAACGGAGGTTACATAAAGGCAGAAACGGGCGAGACACAAACAACCCTAGTGATCTAACCCGGTCACGTTATGTGGAACGATATGTTGTTGTTGTCGTCGGAGATCCAAATTCACCAAGTTTGTTTACCTACCTGTGGCTTGTAATTTCCAAACGAAATCCAATCTATAAGTGGCTTCTGTTTGTTGGCCGTGTAATATTAGAGCAATCACGAACCCTACCAATATCACAATGTTGACGTACTGTTGCGTCAAAGTCGTTTCGCTGAAACATCACATTAAGGAATTACCTCACGAAAAGACAAAGCTTCTGGAATGCAATATTGTTAATGGGGGTGGATGTGCCGGGTGATTAGGTCGACGGAGAATTTGAGAGTCATCAATTTAGCTTACTCAACTGTCTTTAAGTGAAAAAAAATTCGAAAAGTTTTTGTTACTTTATAATTACTTATATTTTATCTGTCGGGCTACTTATTACAGAAACTTAAGCTTAAATACAAAAACATAAGATAAGGAAATGAAAGACCATGTGTAAACATGACCTTTCATTTCTTTGATGGTTGAAATTACTTTATCCTGATGCCCGAAAGGAAAATTGGGGCCATCATGAACGTAGGAAAGAAATTATAGGCGAAGAATCCACATAAACGTCTTTCTAGAAACAGAAAAATTTGACCTGAATACTACGATTTAGCAGGAAATAAAGACAATATTTTTGTTTTATAAAAGTACTTACTATTATTTTCTGAAAATATAATTGTAATATATTTTGTAGATATAGGTAGTACTACATGATCGGGAAGGAATCGTCTATTAACCATTGAAATTTATTACTTTTTAAAATCTTTTGGTAACTTATTAGCATTATTGACGATTTATTTTTTCGCCAGCTTTGAATTCAGTTAGACGTTCATGTAATTTTGTCTGAACTGCAGTTATATTTTTTTTATTTTTTTCCAGGTATAAATTAATTATGTCTTTTGGGTGAAAATCAAAATTAATTTCTTTATTGTGGTCAAAAAGTTGTATAAATACATGTAATGTTCCGTTATTGAAAGGTTTTGTGTAAATAAGTTCATATTACAGCTTTTTAATAATAAAAAGTCAGTATTCTTTTCATATTGAAATATTTTCAATAAGCTTTAAAGCTGTATAAATATTCCGTTTCTGAAATGTACATCAATTCATATTAAGAGGCAATTCATAACTGGAAATGCGTGGGAGGAATTTTTTGTAGAAGTATTCAGTCATTAATATTAGAAACTCTTGTATCGTTTGGATGAATGCCAGTTTTTTTCTAATATTTAATTCAAAATAATTAAAGAAATATTTAGTAAATTATGTTGTGCCATCTTTGAAATAAATCATATACTGGTACTTTAATGATCGAATGTTCCATTAATTTTAAAATTTCAGAGCTTCTTAAAATCATTTCTCGTCGAGAATGTTTTTCATCAGCATAGTGCGTTTCCCTCTCAGAAATAATTAAGAGTATTATTCAAAATCAATTAGGTTGTCTGTTTTTGTTTGCTCCCTTATTTTCTTTTTTGTTTAGAATCTTAAATAAGTGTTTTGTTTTGTATTTTCTTACATATTGGGTTTTACGTTGACGTTTATGTCCTTATAATAGGTTCCCAAAAGCAGAATTAAGATGATTATTATTATTATTATTAACTACAATAAATTCTGCAAAACAAAGCAAAAGCCAGTTAAGGAGATTAACCTCAGGACTCAGGTATAACAATTAAACAACTTATAAGAATATCTTAGTAAAGGTAATGTTTAAAAAAAGACATATATGTAAAGGTCAAACATATGGATGCATACTGAAAACGTAACATATCCAACAGAACTGTATAATCCATAAAGTGAAAAACTAATCATAAAAAATAAACAATTGTAAAAGGGCAACTACTTTCCGTCTCTGTAGAATAGACATGGTACAATAATAATAATGTTTATTACGGATATATACCAATACATTTGCTAAAGAGAGAGAATGTAAATACATATAAACAAAAGAATATGTTACAAATTCAGTTCTTTTCGACATTCAGTCCTAAAACTACTTGGATAACAATTAAAAATATTTATGCTAGGATGCTTATTTACTGTTAGTTTAATTCGTGTAATGGGCGAATTTTGCCCATAGTTTGTTCGGTGAAAATATATTTTGAAAAGAGGCGAGTTTCTAGATAGAACTACAGGCACAGCGAGATGAAAAAGTTCTAAGATAGGCGTACATTTTAAAAAACTATTGATAACCTTATAACAAAAATAAATGTCAAAGAACATGCGTCGACTACAAAGTAGCGGTAAACCAAATTAGGAACACAGAGTTTTGTATTGATCCTGAGCATAACAAACGCGATTCTTAAAACAAAGAAATTTGATGAATTTCCGTTGTATTTTTTCGATGCGATCCGCATAAAATTTGTACCTTGGGGACCAAATAACAGTCCCATATTCCAGTATTGACCTCACAAAGGCGCCGTACAGAACTGTAAGGGCTCTAGTACTCGTGAAGGAGACCGTAATCCTTTTAATGAAACCAAGCATACGATTAGCTCGAGAAATTACGGTTTCGAGGTGCAAATTGAATGAGAGTTTTGCGTCAATTAGAAATCCTAAGTCCTTGATTGACTGCACACATTGAAGTTCAGCGCCGTTTAAAATATACCTGGGTTTAGTTTTGTTTAACTTGCGACTAAATCTAATGCATTTACATTTGTCTAAAGCTAGATCTAAGTCATTTAACGAGCACCATTTTGTGAAACTATTCAAGTCAGTCTGGATATATTTTTCATCACTGTTTTTGGAAACTTGTTTAAAGAGCTTTAAATCATCTGCGAACATGAGCAATTTGCAATGATGAATAACCGACTTGACGTCATTTATGTATATTGAAAATAGAAATGGACCAATGTGTGAGCCCTGAGGTACCCCAGAGGTTACTAAGGCAGAGCTAGAGCAAAAGTCATTTATTTTAACTGAATGAGTTCTATTAGTTAAATACGACTCTAGCCATGACAGGAGTGTACCGTGGATTCCGATTTTATTTAATTTGAATAAAAGGCGTTGGTGATTGACGGAATCAAATGCTTTCCGGAAGTCTGTGTACACGGCGTCAACCTCATAGCCACTTTCCAGAGATTTATTTATAAAATTGGTGTATAAAAATAGGTTAGTAACTGTCGATCGTCCACTATAGAAGCCGTGTTGTTCATCTACTATTAAGTGTTTAAACTTTTCAGTAAGTCGTGTAGTGATAATTTTATCGAGCACTTTTGGAATACATGATTGTATAGATATGGGCCTATAGTTTGTGACGTTGGCTCTGTCGCCAGCTTTGTGTATAGGTTTTAAGAAGCTATGCTTCCAAAAAGTAGGAAATTGACCATTTTTTAAGGAAAGATTAAAGATATAGAAAATAGGAAGACATAATTCATTTGAGCAGTGTTTAATAAAGGAAGGGGAAATGCCATCAGGTCCTGCACCTTTTGAGGGATCAATTTCATTAAGGCTTTGTAGTACTTCTTCTGCGTATAACTTGATGGTACTTGTAAATATTGGCGTTTCAATGTTTACATTATCATTTTTCGGAAGACTTTTCAGTTTGTAAACAGACTGGAAGTAATTCAGAAACATGTCTGCTATTTCTTTGCCGTTAAATGCTTTGACGTTTCCGAAATAGGTAACATTAGGAACTATTTTAGTATCACATCTTTTATTTTTAGCAAAACTCCAGAAAGTGGCAGCATCGTCAACGATTCGACTCTCGATATTACTAATATATGCTTGGTATTCAGATTGTACGGTATCCTTGCACAGTTTTCTTAACGTGCTGAATTCAGCGTAGTAAAATTCAGTTTTATACAATTTAAATTGTTTGTGTGCAAATCGTTTGGCGTGTATTAACCTAATTAATTCAGTACTGAACCACAACGGAAAGTTTTTACTTATTTTCCTACGTTTTGGCACAAAAATATCAATTACATAGAGTAAAACATTGTACAGCAATTCCACACAAACATCTACATCAGGGCAAGTTAAAATGTTTGACCAGTCAACAGAGCTTAAAAAAGATTTTATATCGAGATAGTTTGCGTGCTGGAAGTCATAGTAAAAATCTAATGTGAAATCTAACTCATTGTAATCTAAAATATCGCAATTTATGAGAATAGGCGGATGGTGTTTATCAATGGGAAGTAGTGGACTATCTTGACTGATAGAAATGTCCCAATTTGCAAATACTAGATCTAATATTACAGAGTTCTGGTTTACAACATGATTATATTGGGACAGACCCAGAAACGCAAAATTGTCACAGATCCCAGCACTAACTTCGTTTAAACCGCTAGTCGCATGTAGACCAGCGCTGCTTGAGTCCTGAGACCATTCCAGATTTGGCAAGTTGTAGTCCCCGGCAATAATGACGGAGCAATCGTTGTAAGTTTGCACCAGGTGGGTTACCGTAGAAACATGGCTTTCGTAAAAGGTTTTAGTAGAACCTGGGGGACAGTAAACGGATCCTACTAGAAACACTTTTTCTCCGGCTGTGAGGCGACACCACACTTCTTCCCGATCTACATTTACGTTAACGAGTTGTGAAGTGATCGAACTTTTGACTGCTATAAGGACACCACCACCTTTTAGTTTTGAGCTAGTTTGACTAGACCTATCTTTTCTGTAAATCTGGTAAGTTTCATCAACAATTTCGCTGTCGTAAATTCCGTCGTCTAACCAGGTTTCAGTCAATATGATCACATCGTAGTCATTGCTGAGAATGGCTGTATAGAGTTGGTCGAGTTTGCTTTTCGTACCTCTAACATTTTGGTAATAAATCGCTAGTGAGTTTCTTTTCACGTTTCCGAGTCAATCCATCTTGGATGTCTTCGATGGTGTAATTGTTTTGGTTTTCTCCTTAAAGTGAATAAATTTTTTGATAGCAATGGACTTAGGCCAAAAGCAAGGGTCCAGAAGTTGTGCAGTATGAGTTACAGGAATTCCAACTTTGAAGCTTTTATATTCCTTAGATTTGACGTTTAATTCAGTGCAGTCTACGTGCAAATTAGAGTCCGACAGTTTATTCTGTATGTAACTGGTTACATGATCTGTAGTACAGTCCAGACCAATTTTTGAAACGTGTATAAAAGATTTTGGAATCACAGGTTTCAAAATATTGTCAGCATTACCAGTTCCAAATTTGATTCCGCTGGGGCGTTTTTTCCGTCGATGAGTTTGTACTTGCCATGTGTGATCATC